GAACTCCAGGCAAGAATCGTTGACCGAAAATGCGTGCAGGTCCCCTACCCTCTTGATGGAGGCCAATGCCAGCAGGAGCAAAGTCTTCATCGAAAGAAATTTCAGCTCGAACGTCTGCAAAGGCTCAAATGGGCCCTGCTGCAGTGCTGTGAGCACTAGAGTCAGGTCCTAAGAGGGGATAGAGGGGGGCCGTGGAGGATTTAGCCTTCTCGCCCCCTTAAGGAACCTGACGACCAGGTCATGCTTCCCCAGCCCTGACCTTGCACAGCAACTGTGCAAGAAGGCTCACTGGGGCTTTTCTTTTTTGAAACGCATACTTGCGAAGGCCCCGCAGCCAGCTGTCTGCCAGTGCGTCCGTGCTGAGTGTTCCCTCGGCCAGGGAGAAGAACAACTGGCAGTGAGAGGTTTCTGGAGAGGCAAACAGGTCTACCTGAGCGGCTCCAAAACGTCTCCAAATGAAAACTTGAAATCGCATCATATGACCCCTTTAAGAAAAGAAAAGAAAAGAAAAGAAAAGAAAAGAAAATAATCTACCTTTTTGGCCATGCCACAAGCCTCAATATCTGTATCTTCTGATTTGCGGCATTTTGTCTTTCCAAGAGTGGCCTCGATTTTGTAGTTTATCTTATTTGTCACCTGGACACAAAGGTTCCTTGTCATTTAATGTGGATTAATATACATGGTAACACTTTATTTTAAGCACCAATTCTCACTATTAACTAGTTGCTTATTAGCATGCATATTACTAGCATATTGGCTGTTTATTAGTTCTTAAAAGGCACATATTAATGCCTTATTCTGCATGACCGTGTTCTAGATCCTTTAACCCTACACCTAAACTTAACGGCTACCAGCAGCAAACTAGGAGTTTATTGAGGGAAAACTAGTTGCAACTAAAGTGTTACCATACACATGTATACATGAACAATCAGAAAATATTTTTGAAAGCATGAAAGCTGTACCTGAGTGCTGGCCGATGTGACATTGACGAGTTTGAAGTATTTCTTTGCTTTGGACTTCGAGTTGAAGAGCTCGACAGCTTCTTTCGCAGCCTCCTGAACATCTTCCCTCTCGGGACTGGCAAGAGTCCAGCCACCGAGCAGCTCCACATTCCCTGAGAGACATGGACTGAGAATATCTCCAAGACACGTATCTGCAGTGTTTGAGCTCATGAGAGACATGCACTGCACTGTAAATGCTATACATCTCACCAACAAATACATGCTGCCATGATAATACTAAAACTTGTATTTATTTATTTATTATTTATTTACATTTTACCATGTTAAACTACAGTATTCTGTGAAGCAGCATGTACTTTAATTAGTAGTTGGTGCAAAACACAAAGATAATTAATAGTAATTAAGTAAAGAAGTAGCTATATTATGTTTGTTATAACAGTTCAAAAGAGTCTCTTTAAAATATTACAATGCACACACACACACAAACAAAGAAAACTAAAAAAAAAAAGACATTTTGTAAACAACACAATTTAATCAGAACAAGAGCTTACTTGCTACAATTACTTCTTCCTCCAAAGGCTGGTCAGCACTGCTGAAGTGAAACACGGACAGAAAGGACACGAGGAGCAGAAAGCAGATATCCATGACTCTCGGCTGTGTGATCTCTGAGTGAATGTGGAGACGGCTTTAGAAATCTGCCGTGTAGTCACGGAATGCCCGACGCCCTTCCCGCCAGTGAGGGTGGAGTGAGTGTGACGCCCACGCACTTAATGATGCCTGTGAGGGTGAATCCACTCAGACAGTGAGTCAAGGGAAAACATGATTTAAGTGTGTGTGTGTGTCTGTGTGTGTGTGTGTGTGTGTGTGTGTGT